TGTGTGTGTGTGTGGACATATATGTCGGTTTTCAAACACTGAGTTAGACTTTGATACCACCAGAAATTTAATATCTCTAGAAATATCTGTAGGGTTGTATATTTCTTTTTCTCAATGAAAGAATAAAAGAGTTTTTGATCTAATAAAAAAACACTTTGTCTGTTTCGTCTTTGAAAAAAAAAAAATATTAGCCCTTGACAAGCAAAGTAAACTTCTTATGGTTTTTTCATTTTTTTTCACACATTTTTTTTTTTTTTTCAGTTTTAAATATCTTTATGTCAGTACAATGAACATTTTGATATTAGTGAGAAATGTGTTATGGCCGGTTTAATATATTGAAGTAAAGTTCAAAGTAATAAAACGTAGATATATAGATATATTTAAAGAGCTAAGTATATGCACACACATACATGCATACGCACATATATATATATATATATATGTATATGTACATGTGGCTGAGTGGTTAGAATGATCACATTCTGACTGTGAGTCCCAGGTTCAAATCTCACCATGGTCGATTTATCAGAAAGGAGACTTCCTGATGTTATCAGACAGGAGGGGTTGTTCCCAGTGTGCGGCACCTTTGGAAAGTGCCTGAAAACCATACCAAGCCTTGTGAATGAAATTGGGTAGATGGAACCTGTGAGGGACACCGATAGCTGTGCTAGCACAAAGTCACAAGTCATTGTGACCGAGGGCTTGAGTGTGCTGGTCTTGTTCACATTTTTGATCACGCTTGATAACATGCTCATTCCCAGAAAGTTTGAGCAAGGTCCACTCAACATAGTTGCAGTATAAACTACGGAGCAGGCTAGTAGACGGGTGTACTGGATTCTCCCATCAGTATATATATATATATATATATATATATATATATATATTTGGTTGGCTTGATGTGAGTTTGTGGCCCTGGGTTTCACACTTTTGTGATCGTCAGATAAACTGATTAATTTCGTGCATATAATATATATATATATATATATATATATATATAGATTTATGTTTATATTTATATACACACACTTTTCACATATATATATATCTGTTTATATGTGTGTGTGTGTGTGTGTGTGTGTGTGTGTGTGTGTGTATGGGGGAGTGTGTATGTGTGAGGCTGATGAGACAAAGGTTACTAAACACAACATTTCACCAATGTCTGCTGATCATGGTTTCTTCAGGTCAGAATGGAAGACAAATCTTTGTGTAAGGAAAATGGGTTGGGATTTTTGAGGGTAATGGGGGTAATAAATTAAATTACCTTATCAGAGAAAAAAATGGAGTATTCCATCCATATCTAGGTTGGAGCTGCACAATCCCCACTTGCCTGATTTGATAAAGTTCAAAAGCAACGTTTCAACCCAACAGCCCTATTCTGACAGAGGAAACATCGCAAGCCTCTCGCTACTCTATTGTTATTTCTATGATAATTCTTCAGACAGTATCTTCATTTCACCAAGAGGGTCAAATAATCCTTATCCACTTCATATTCCATTTGTAAGAAAGAAGTTCTACTCAGACAGTTTCTTCACTAGAACTGTTACTTTGCATTTTCAGTCTATGGTCAACTGTTATCTATCTGATATATACTCATAATCTCTACTTACTTCCTCCTCTTATGGCATTTTTCTAAGCATAGCTTAAATATAGCACAAGACTGAAAGTAAGAGGCAATCAGTGAGGATCAAACTCACTATGCTTTCATAATTGATCTAGTGAGACAAGCTTGCAAACCATTACATCACAGTTAAGTGTCCCTTCCTCTACTTATGTCCTTCCAACATAATTCATTAACCCTCTACCTTGAGTTGCTCTTGGGCCTTGAATTAGGTGAATATTTAGTTTTTTAAAAAATGGCTAGTTACATTTCAGATACCCCCCTACACACACACAACTGTATTTATATCAATATATTATATAAATCACCCCCACTCCAAATACACATAAAAAATGCCCACATATATAGATGGATAGATATTTTCCCAGGAATTTAAGAAGTAATAATTCAATAAAGTGTGATGTTTTCATACCCATCATTCTGCAAGCAAACATATTATTGGGGTCTGTACAAAGAGAAAAGGCACACGTCAATATTAATAAAATATGGAAAACAAAATGGAAATATATTCTTTTTTCTCTACAGTTTTTTTTTCCAACACATATTTACTTTGATTTTAAGTCAAAGACAGAAATTATTTTTTGCCAGCACAGAAGCCATTCATTGATTTGCTTTAAAAATTATCAGGTTTCTAGCTTCAAAGACATGAATTCAAATGTTGTAAATTATCCTGCAATACAGAACAGGAATTGGTTATATACAATAATACTGTGCATTTGGTCATCAAACTTTCATTGAATGTGACAGACAAGGAAAATCTTATAATTGTTTTGAAGTTTTTCTAATGTTCTTACTGTTTCTTTCTGGAAGAACTAAGGGAGTGCAGAAAGTATCCATGATTATTATTATTAGGCAAACACGGAAAAACATTAACAATAGATCACTTGAAAGTGACTAACTTTTCAGTCAAAATGCTTTGTAGAATAACCATTTTGGAAATGTGTATACTTATATATATATATATTTTAAAGGAAAACAGACCACTTTAAGTTTCCATTATAATAATTTATTTCACCAGAGCCCCTTTAAAGGACTCTGGATCATCAGATAGCACTTCCAAAAATGAAACGAAAAATGAAATGAAAACTGATGGGTAGTGTAAGTTTTTGTAATTTAACAGAGAGTGTAATAAGGAGTGGTTAGAGAGATATGGTAGAGTTTAGGGAGGGTTTAATTTAATATTTCTCTCAATCATACTTAGTATTGGGGGAGGAGGAGTGACCAGACCTTGACTTATTTAAACAGCAATAATTTAACGGAAGTGATATATTGAAATGGGAGGGGAGAAGAGAGAAAAGAAAAAGAAAAAAGAAAGAAGGGGGAAGTAAAGAAAAAGAGGCTGTAAATGAGTTTTACATATTAAGGAGAGGGGTGGTAAGTTTTAGTAATTTATGTAAAAAATAGATTTTAATGTTTGATAGTAATTTAGATGTCTAAAAAAATCCACGAAGAAATTACTTTGATGCTTGCTAGCAATTTAAATATTTAACTTTTTTACAAATAATTTAGGGATTTAATATAAGTTAAATACTGTATTTATTAACACATTCATAGAGAACATATTAAAAAAAAGATTAAAATTATAACAGTCTGTTTAACCCGACCAATAGTACTCCTTTAATATTGTAAAAGCCAGTTACGGTAACATCTTATTTGATTAGAGAAGATTTTAATTGCTTTTATAAATAACATATATTATGGAAACTATTTCTTATGAATAATCAAGAGTGGTCGCCCCTTGTTTTGTTACTCTCATCTTTGAGAGAGCTATTTCTGTTCACTGGGACTATAAAAGGACACTATACATTAACCTTGTATTATTAGTTAAATAAAGCTTTCATAAAGGCTACACCTGCATACTTTTGTCATTACACTATTGTCTGAAGAAAAAAAGTAATGAATTTTTATAAGAATTGTTTTCATTTTTTTAAATTTTAATTATAATAATTTATAAAGTTTTAAACCTTTTAAAATTCTGTATTAATTTGTAGCATTTAAGCGATATTGTTATTAAATAAAAATTATATTTACTAATAATAAATGGAAAAACTTACTACAATTCAGAGATCCCAGCATTTTAAAGACAATTTTGAATTTTTTTCTGTGTGTATAAACATACAAATTTTTATAAATAAAGATGTCCATACACAATGTTATCAGAAAATAAGAGCATAATTATAGTAAATTTAAAATTTATTAGTAATTTTCTATCATTTTCTGAAAAATGTCTTTATAATTCAAACTAAAGCCAAAGTATTCAAAATTCACTAAAATACGAAATTACTTAGAATATATTCTTAAATTCTTACTGGTTAATTAAAAAAATATATAAAAAAAAAGGCAGTCGGCTTATATACATCAAATAATTGTTACACCTATGTTCCCCTTAGAAAATTTCCCAAATATAAGTCTACTGAGAGAGTTGTCAACACATCATAAAACACACACCACTGTTTAAAAAATGCTTTTCTGTGATATTTTAAACGAAAAGTAAATAATATTTGCTTTAAATCAGATTAAATAAACTTTAAATCAGTTAATCTTCCTCAAATAAAGTTTCAGAAAAGTATATTTTGTTTTTGGATATTTTTTTTTAATAAGAGAATTATGTTGTGTTGACATATTTGTCAATATGTACGATTTTAGCATTTTTACTGATAATAAAAATACTCATTTCAATCATATTTAAATTCAGTTTGAAATACAAGTATTTTGTTTATTGGAAATATTAAATTTAATCTACTAACTTGAAATTAAAACTAAAATAAAAGCACTAAGAAAGAGTTTTCATTTTTAAAAATGTATTTTAAAACATAGGTATTGATTGTCTTTGACAGTATGTCTCTCTCTCTCTCTCTCTCTCTCTCTCTCTATATATATATATATATATATATATATATATATATGTAGAGATAGATAGATAGATAGATAGATAGATAGATAGCAATATTGAGTTGAGAGAATTCACCTTAGAGAAATAGGTAAATAAAGTTATGATAGATTTTCATAAAAAGTGTATGCAAAATATGATACTGACTAAAAAAAATGAGAACATTAAAAAAACAAACAATTTACTTATTTATCTAGCTTCCTTTAAAAGTTCAGTGATGTATTTTATAACATTTTTCCCCCCATGGAAAGCAATAAGTTGAAGAAAATTGCTATTTTTTTTTAAAGAAATATATTGAATAATCTCATTTTGACTTTACATAATAAAAATAAGAAAAGCCTTTTTTTGAGAAAAGCAAATCTCTTTTCATTTTGTATTTTTTCTGTCTATTTTTCACCCTTTATTTTGTTTTCTCTATTTAACCCTTTTTGCTTCACTGTCATTGTTTTTCTTTATTTCTTCACTGAAAGGCGGTGGGGGGTGAAGGAATAGAAAAAGAAATGAAAGAGTGACATTTCATTTTTATTCATTTTTTTTGGCTTCCTTTTTATCTTCTTCGCTTTTTAATTTTCTTTCTTTATTTTTCTTTCTTTGCATTTTACTCTTCTCTCTTTTTCTTACTTTCTTTCTTTGCATTTTACTCTTCTCTTTTCTTTTTCATTTCTTATTTCTCTGTATTTTACTCTTCTCTCTTTTTCTTTCTTTCTTTCTTTCAATGCATTTACTTCGTCTCTTGTTTTTTCTTTTTTCTTTCTTTCTCTGTATTTTACTCTTCTCTTTTTCTCTTTTACTCTTCTATTTTTTCTTTTCTTTTCATTTTACTTTTTCTTTCTTTTTTGTATTTTACTCTTCTCTCTTTTTTTCTTTTCTCTTTCTTTCTTCATATTTTCCTCTTCTCTATATCTTTCTGTCTTTCTTTCTTTGTATTTTATTCTTCTCTCTTTTCTTTCTTTCATTCTTTCTTTCTTTACATTTTATTCTTCACTTTTTCTTTCTTTGCATTTTACTCTTCTTTTTTCTTTCTTTCTTTCTTTCTTTCTTTCTCTGGAAGAAGTTATCTAAGTGGAAAGTTACTTCATATGAAAGGAACATGAAGGGGATGGTATAGTTTGCTACTTCTTTATTCTTCTTCTCTCTCGCTTTCTTTTTCATTATTTCCTTCTAAACTTTACACCTTTTTCTTTCTTTCATTCTTTTTATTTGAGTCTTCTCTTTGTGCTTCTTTGTTTCTTTCTATTTTTTACTTCTCCTTTTCCCCTTCTATTTCACTCTTTTTTTCTACTTTTAATCATCTTTCTTTCTTTCATCTTCATTCATCTTCTCTGTTAGCTTTATTTCCATCTCGTTTTTACATTACAATCTTTCTTTCTTTCTTTCTTTCTTCTTCTCTGTTAGATTTATATTCACCTCTCTTCTCTTCCTTTCAGTTTCCCCATCTTCTTTTGACTTGCCAATTTTCTTTCTTTCTTTCTTTCTTTCTTTCTTTCTTTCTTTCTTTCTTTCTTTCTTCACCATTGTATATTTCTTTGTTTTATTTTTATTTATTTTTCAACTTTTGTCTTTTATTTTGTCCTACTTTCTTTTTCACATTTTCTCTTTATTTTTAGTTCGTCTCTCTGTTTTGTCTGCATTTCTTTCAATTTTCGTCCATCTTTCTTTCTTTCCCATTTAATCTTCTTTCTTTTTCACATTCACAACTTTTCTCTCTTTCTTCCATTCCTTTTCTATTTATTTTCCCAACTTTTTTGTTTCTTTTCGTAATTCTTTTTATATTTATTTTTCTTCTCTTTCTTACTCCTCTTCTCTTTTTTTATTCTTCTTTCTTTTTGATTCTCTCACTCTCTTTCTTTCTTTTTGGCTCTCTTTTCTTTATCCTTCTTTCTTTTTGATTCTCTCTCTCTCTCTCTCCTTATTCTTCTTTCTTTTTGATTCTCTCACTCTCTTTCTTTCTTTCTTTTTGGCTCTCTTTTCTTTCTTTTGGCTCTCTTTTCTTTCTCTCCTTCTTTTCTTTTGATTCTCTCTCTCTCTTTCTCTCCTTTTTCTTCTTTCTTTTTTTGATTCTCTCTCTCTCTTTCTTTCTTTCTTTTTTTGGCTCTCTTTTCTTTTTCCTTCTTTCTTTTGATTCTCTCTCTCTTTCTTTATTCTTCTTTCTTTTTGATTCTCTCTCTCTCTCTCTCCTTATTCTTCTTTCTTTTTGATTCTCTCACTCTTTTCTTTCTTTCTTTTTGGCTCTCTTTTCTTTATTCTTCTTTCTTTTTGATTCTCTCTCTCTCTCTCTCCTTATTCTTCTTTCTTTTTGATTCACTCTCTCTTTTTCTCCTTCATTTTTTATTCTCTCTTTTTTGATTCTTTCTTTTTGATTCTTTTTATCTTTATTCTTCTTTCTTTTTGACTGTCACTTTTTCATTCTTCTTTCTTTTTAATTTTTATCTCTCTTTATTCTTCTTTCTTTTTGATTATCTCTTTCTCTTTTTCTTCTTCTCCTCTTTTTGACTCTTTCTTTTTTATTCCTTTGTTTGATTCTCCCCCTTTATTGTATTTATTTCTTTATTGTCTTTTTTTTTTCCTTTTTGTCTTTTTTTTTACTGTTTTCTCTTTCTGCTGAATTTGCTTTGTACTCTTTTCTCCTTTTTCATTTTTTTATGTTCTTTATTACGTTTTTATTTTACTAACACTCTTAGTACTTCTTCTTCTTAGTTGTTATTCTTCTTCTTCTTCTTCTTCTTCTTCTTCTTCTTCTTCTTCTTCTTCTCTGTATAATTCCTCTCTTTTTCCCTTCTCTCTTTTCTCTGTGTAATATTTCTTATTTTTCTCTCACTCTCTTTTTTAATTACCCTCTTTTTCCTACCTCTCTTTTTTCTGTGTAATTCCTCTATCTTTCTTTTCTCTGGACAATACCTATCATTTGCATCTCTCTTTTCTCTGTATAATTCCTATTTTTCTCTTCACTTCTCTAGCTTTAATTCCTCTCTTTTTCCCTTCTCTCTCATTTCTTTATATAATTCTTTTTTACTTGTCTCACTTTTCTCTGTATATTATAAATCTCTTTTCTTTTCTCTCTTTTTTCTTTGCGTCAAACATCTCTTTTTCTTCTCTTTATAATACCTTTTTCACTCTCCCTTCTCTCTATAATTCCTTTTCCCTCTCTCTCTCTCTCTCTTTCATTCTTTTTACAATACTAATTCCATTTTTCTATTCCCTCACTCTATTTCATTCTGTTTACTTACAATTTTACCTATTTACTTCCTTACTCTCTTCCTTTTAGCATTGTATATCCCCATCTCTGATCACCTGACATCTGTCATTGATTCATCTCTTCCCTGGAACACCTCTGCACTTTCTCTAAAGACAAGTATTTTCATTTTAAAAGATTATAACAGAAAAAGAGAGAAAAAATAAACAAAGATTGGATGAAAGTAAAAAAACAAAACAAAGAAAAATCAAGGAAAATGCCAAGCAATTGGAGACAGACTTTATAGATAAATTTAGATGTAAATCTTTTGTTGCTGTTGACAAGTGGGTCATGAAAGGCAGTCAGGTTAACCTTGGCTTCATCTTTAATAACAAAGCAAGTTTACTGGCACCATTTTTATTTCACATTTCTTTTTCTCAAAGTTTGATCACTTTAGCTTTTACTATCATTTCTACTTTCACTTTCACTTTCAATGTTTTATTTCTCATTGCAAACTTATTTTCGTCTTCATTAAATTCTGAAGTCTTATTTAAGTTTGTCACTTTTATTGTTATTATCATGACTTTTATAGCTATTATCATGACTGTTTTGAAAGTTTATTTTTGGCTCTTATGATGTGATAATTCTGGCTTATGCATTTTGTTATGATTTTTTTAAACACAGACTTGTACAATGTTAAATACCTGTCATTTTTGTATAATAAATATTTAAAATCTGCAAAGAATAAAGTCCTGTAAGAATTTTTAGTGGGATACTAATGTCAAGCACAGACTTATAAATATTGTAATCAAAATAAACATTTAAAAAAGTAAATATGAATATAAAATTCTGAAATTAATTAGGCAAAAAGCAAAAGCCTTTTTCCTATATTAATAACAATGAATAATAACGATAATTATATCAAATAACAGAAACCCCATCACTCAAGTACTTTCAACAACAGCAACAACTAAAATGGATAGCACGTGTAATTCAAAGAAAAAAATAATGATGTAACCAAAATATTGACATTCCACATAACTTCAAACAAAAATTTATGATGGCAATCTCCATCGATACTGGTATGAGATTCAACAGCTAGAGGATTTGAGAGACCTATTTCTATATTCTCAGTCAATGAATGCCAATTGTTTCCTTACAAGTGTTAAAATTTGGTAGCCATTTCTTACCCTAGTTAACAACAACAAATTGAAGGTCCTTTTTGAAATTAGCTGTCAATTTTACCTTATCAAATCTCTCCAGATTACTATTAAAACAGTAGTAAATAGTTGTGAGATACTAAGTTGCAAACAAATGAAAGTTAGGAACAAAGTAGGTCCATGGATATAGCACTGGGTAACTCTGACATTAATATAAAAAAGATATAGAAGAGTAGCCATTCAAGACAACTTTCATTTTGTCATTTGATAAATAAGAAAATAAGATTGAATCAAATGTAAAATTCTTTTCAAATATATATATATATATATATATATATATATATATATATATATATATATATATATATATATATATATGCCTGTTCATATCTATCTATCTATCTATTGATCTCTCTCTGTGTCTGTCTATATTTCTGAGATGAGGTATTATGTACATTATTTACATTATTCGGACTATTGTCCTCATCTTTGTTGCCATATTTATCACAACGTTTCAGTCCTCAAGGACACATGGCACAGTGGCTAAAGGTGTTGGTTGGATCCAGTGATAGGACCCAAAGAGTGTGAGTTCAATACCAGGTTAAGGCAGTGGGGAACTTTGAGAGGGATAGTAACAGGAGATAACTGATAACTGACATTCATCAAAAACATGGCACATGGAACTAGAACAGTCTACCCCAGTGATCGAAATAAAGGGTTCAGTTCAAAATTCCAACTACCTCTCTCTGTGTATATCAATCCTCTGCTTGTATCTATCTATCTATCTATCTATGTATGCATATTTAGAAAAATATAAAGAACTGAAAAGGTTTTTTGTAATGCATTTCATCCGTTAAAATTTTATCAGACTGGATGAAATGCATCAGAAAAAATACTTTCTAGTTTATCATATTTCTCTAAATACTGCTTGTTGATATATAAAATTATACCAAATTATATATCATTATATCATACACACACACACACACACACATATATATATACTTGGATATATATATATATATATATATATATATATATATATATATATATATATATTATTATGATAAACGTGCAATCAATTTACAAATACATGAATTATTCACACAAAAACTAATGCAAAGGTTAATGATTTAAATGGCAAGACATCCATCATCGCAAACAATTCAAATAATGCCACTTTGACAGAAAATTTACCAGTAAAAAATTCGTTCATCACCATATATGAACGCACAACCTTTAGAAACTTAAAATCAAACTCAGCGTTGCTTTTGCGTGCTCCAAAAACAGTTACTCATTTTCAATAGCATTTTCGGATACAACAATACATATATTTTCGTTGTCCTCTTATTACTAAGAGAAAAACAAGAAACATCTATTCTATACCTGAAGATGTCTGTAGGAACAGACGAAAGCTTGTAGTAAAAATAAGAACTAATACGGCAGAAATTTATATAAACAAGGATCATTTCATTCATAACGGATACGGAGGTTTTTGTATATTATTTGAATTGTTTGCGATGATGGATGTCTTGCCATTTAAATCATTAACCTTTGCATTTTTTTGCATTAATTTTGTATATATATATATATATATATATATATATATATATATATATTGGACTCTTGTGTTAATGTTGTCATATGTGGGTAAAGCAACTCAATACCTAGAAATTGTCAGCCAGACTACACGCACAGAATCATTTGATTATATTGGTGAAGACCATGCTTTTTAGAAGATCCAGATACAGAGAACTAGTACACAATGTGTCACAAGGCCCTTAAACAACCCTCCACAAGTTTTGAATTCAGTGTTTTCCTTCTCCTAGATCCAAGGCTATAGAGCCCAGTCTGTCCGGATATGTGCTCAGAGCTTGGGGGCGGGGGAGAAGAAGAGGATTCATATCTTTCCCCGTAAGTGAATGCAATGGAGATGACTGGAATTTGAAATTGGATCTCTGATTCCTCAATCTAAGCTGCTATCCATTACTCCACTGTGCACATACATACATACATATATATATATATATATATATATATATATATATATATATATATATATATATATATATATTTATTTAAAAAAATATGATTCCAACATGCTACATAAGAGTTTTCATGTTTCAAAACAAGAGCGAAAAACTTCAATATAATTATTTGAATTAAATTAATTAAAGTAAGCTCTGTTCCATTTTCAAGCAAAATTTTTTTCAGAATTATATTGAAGTTTTCAGCTCTTGTTTTGAAACATGAGAACTCTTATGTAGCGTGTTGGAATCATATTTTTAAATAAATAATTATATTTATGTTCTACTTTTGTATCGAGCACTATTTTTTAAAAATAATAACAAAAATACTAAAGAACTTTGGATTATTTACTGAGTTATTTCCTATTTTCTATATATTTTCACACACATATATATATATATATATATATATATATATATATATATATATATATTATATATCTATCTGTACATATCTATCTATTAATCTATCTGTACATATCTATCTGTTCATATCTATTGATATGTTTTTCTCTATCTTTTCTTTTTTT